TAAAAAAGTGCCATAATAATGTTGTTGTTTGTGTTTATTATTATTCAGTTTCCTCGAATGTCGACATTCTTCAGGGTGCCCGTTATAGTGCTATTTTTCTCATAATTGATGTTTTTATTTAATTGAAAGAAAAGGTGGATTGTAGGTTGTAGATGATGAGGATAAATTTGCCATCGAAATCGACGTGTCTCAGTTTATGCCACAAGAAATAAGCGTAAATGTTTGTGGTAATGAACTTACGATTGAGGGCTTACATCGAGAACGGACCGACGAAGTTGGTTCAATAAAAAGACGATTTCAACGAACTTACCAGCTACCATTCGATACACAAACAGCTTCTCTTACGTCTCATCTAAGCAATACAGGTGTTTTAAGTGTTTCCGCCCCGAAATTTAATAATAGTCAAATGATTTCCACGCTCAAGTCACCCGCTGTACTACGAGACGAAGAACCGGACGAAAGCTTTGCTTTTAATCCATCAGCAGTGAACACCACTTAATTTTGCAGATATGTTGAACAGACATTCTTTCACATTTGCCTTTAGTGCTGTTTTTTTGTTTCTAGTTAAGGTTTTTATAAGTTTCATGAAATTATTACTTGTTGACCTCTCTTGTGTTTAAGTTTGATTGTATTATTCCGATTCAACCGCTAGAAAGTATATAATGAATGTTTTGAAATTTGAGAGATGATGTTATTCTGATTTTCTTTTTGTACGCCTGTTTGGATCCATAATATTATTTGCTTTCGTAATAATAATAATAATGTTGTTAGTATATTATTATTCAATTTCGTTGTGTACTTTTATATCGAGATAAGGCTTTGAAAGTCACATATTTTTTGCTTCTATATTCAGTTTTTAATATATGTTTTTATGCATAAAACTTATTAATACTTCTCTGTTGCGTACTTACAATTAAATAATTCTCGCCTTAATAGGTCCTCTCACAATAGAGTTAGGAACTGCAAGATTTTTTGCAGTGGCCTCAGACTGAACGCCCTATCGGTGGCCACCGATAGTCAAGTATTGATCAGTGGTTGGTTTCGGTCGGTGGTCACAGAAGTTCAGTTTGCCGGGGCTGCCGACCGGACAGTCTTTTCCAGTTGCGAAAATCTTTTTTTTTTCGGTGGCATTAGAAAACAAATTTACTCGATTTCTTTCGATGGACACTTCTCTTGTCAGGTCCAGTCGAGGAATGGAGATTTGCTGCAGCCTGCCTATATTATTATTGTTAACTGCACCAACGGAAGCAGAATAGTCGTTGAGCTATCAGACGCTTTTTTCGTCGTACAAGTTTCATCATTTAGAGCGTTAGTTTGCGACACAATTTCACGTTGAGCGTAAATGAAGGTATTAAAATGTTAGTTATAACTTGGGTTTGCATGTGATCCCGGGATTTCAGTTCTGATCCCGATCCCGGGATTTAACTTTGAAAAATCCCGGGATTTCGGGATTTGATAAGACAAGTCAATTTGTGTGAATTTTGATATTATGCTCATCTTGAAGCAAGCCTTAATCATTCCCATCTCATTCGTATGCAGCCATTTTTGCTGTTTGCTCTCCATCACTGATGAATAGCTAAGGAAATAGACGCAAATTGGACGAATGACATGATCAATTAAATATTCGGCTCGATGAACTTTTACGTAACATTTCATTAAATATTCAGCTGATTATTCTACTCTTCATTGGTTTAGATCACGCTCATCTGGATGCATTTCTAAGTAGACTAACAGAGATAATTATATTTTCTAATAAGAACTAAGAGCAACAAATTTCAACGAAATTTTGATTCGTTTCTTCCAACGCGATTTGTTCGGCTTCAATATTCCGTCCGTTAATTCAACTGCATGTTCTAAAGACTGCAAGTCTTTTTACTTCGCTATTTGAAAACACTTTCATCCGATCAAAATGTACATTAATTCTCACTGAGTTCACTCATCGTGAGAATTCACTGTCGAAGTGAGGGAAACTGTTCTATTCAAAAGGATCTTAAGCTTAACTATCAAGTACATTTCCACGATCTCTGATCGAAATTATTAGACATGTAAGTGTTCGAAGGTTCGGTGAAAATCCATTGCGGATTTTTTTTCACTTTTCAGATAAACTCTGAACTTTTAATTTTTTCAAAATTCGAATGATATAATTCATGCGATGCATTTCTTTCGTAAAACATCGAAATTTCCGAAATGGCAGAATTCACTTGACGTTAATACTGCGAGAAAATGGACTTGAAGCACTGCAAATAAGTGATTGAGAATCAAGAATTTCATATTCACATGCAAGTGTACCGTTATTAGCTTAGACCCGAGACGACAAGACGCCTTAGCATAGAAAATGCAGTATGCCTTGCGGCATGACCATTAGTATCATTATATGAAATATTAATTTGAACTTGAATAATTTGGTTCCTCGAACTTGTTCAATAATTTGTTGAATTAACTCCTTTCTGATTAATAATGAACATATTGCTTCGAAAAGATGTGTTTGAACATGTCCCGCATCGATATTACAAAAATTGTTCGATTCCGGGGTTACCCCGGGATCAAAAATCGATCTCGGGATCAAATCCCGATCCCGGGATTGAAAAATCGTCGGGATTTTGCAAACCCTAGTTATAACGCGTTAAAATGTTACATTAAGGATAAGAATGATGGCTCAAGTGGATTAGAGTGAATAGAAATAGAAAAGTTCATCATACTACGTAGAACACATTCTGGAAGAATGCATTAGCTTAATCGGATTCTGCACTTGCTCATAGTTCGATTACCATTAACAAACAAGCGATTTGTTCGCCACCAACCGAACAACCCCTTTCGGCTTCGGTCGATGGCACCGAAATTTGTCCCTCGCGTGACACCGATCGAGCAGTTCTTTTCGATTGCGCTCGGAGGCCATCGAAAGCCGGTTTTTGGTGTCCACCGTTCTTTTCGGTCGCAGTCGGTGGCCAACGATTTTCGGGTGACCTGGGGATATCGGCATTCACAAAAAATCGGTCGGTGGCCTTTGACCGAAATTCGATGGCCATCGACCCAACTCTACCCTCGGAAAACAATTTATTCACTCATACGCTCGATTTTTGCCTAAATTCGTGGTTTTGCGTGGAGGACAGAGTTAACCTGTTCTCGGAATTGATTTGAACGAGCTTAGGTATTGATTTAATAATCCAGCAGCCTATTTGTATATTCAGGAACCTCCTCTCCAAAGTGAGAAACACATTTTCCTTATCGAGTCTGCCTCCATCAACTTCAAGGAACTACCTCATTCAAAATATTAGTGCGAAACGTGTAATATCGAGGTTACACGATATTTTAATACGAAACGTTATTTTTTCATCCAAGTTTGTACTTTCGTTCACGGACTGGCTTACAACACAGATAAAAGTTACCAACAAGTGACCAAAAGCTGAATCTTGAATGCCCGTCAAGATGCACCATGGGTGTTGTATGCTTCGAATAACCCCAAACGCTTCAGTTTGTTCAGCCGTCACTTTCAATATCGCAGTCTGTTATGCGCTATCCTGTCTGCTCTTGCTAGAGGTATGTTACCGCTGACGCGCGCCACTATTCATACTAATTGGTGAAACGTCTGATATCTCTATACAAAAATGATCTATTCGTTGTAGTTTATAGTATGAAGCATATATGATATTGCATGTATTGAAAAATATGGATGAAACTCATGTCTCGGAAAACCTGTGTGATTTAGCACCGAAGGTAAACTGTAAAAGTCGTCCGGATTATATTAGGCCATTCTCAATCTGACCATGAGCTCAAGGCCAACCTCGTAAGCCGAGGTGAGAGGGTAGGCTTGAGTTTGCTACTGCTAAACCCGACGATGCTAAATTGCGCCCGGGTGAGTTTTGCATGGTCTGAACGCACTGCATGGCTATCATATTAGAACGTTGCCAAAAGTTGAACCACTCCAGTTTGGTCTTTATCCACACTGTAATCATATGGCAAACGCGTTTCATCCTCCCCACGTCAAAGGCAACGTGGCTAGCGTATGAAAATAAATTTAATCGTTCACATGTAACCGTATATAAATTATTCATTGCAAGTGGATGAAATTTGGTGGTATTAAACAATGTTGAATACTGAAAGCTTTTACTTGATTGGCCGGACCTTTAACTATTAGAGTGCCGACCACAACATGCTTTCCCAGTTTTTCTATCCCTCGTTTTTTCTTCAGTTGATAGTATCAAAACTAAATCAAAACTTTCAGATATTTGGGTGAAAAATGTTGAAATGGTACGTGGCGGTATGTTGAGGGTGACTATCATTTCACTGATATCATTTATACTTTTGTATATTATTTATTTATCTACAGCATCCTCATCAACTTATCTGACTTATCATACCAATGTATACCGAGATCACGGTTTGTTGTTTGCATTGTAATTCTTTTCAGTTTCAGGTGAAATTTCTTGTTTGAATAATGTTATTGGGCAATGGCGGGTATTAACGCGCTAATTTGCTATTAGAAGAACAAAATTTTTTTCCTTGGCACGTTAACTCTTTAATTATTTTAAAGCGAAACTCATTAACGGTAATTTTCACCAAATTTATTTTTTAGCGCTATCTATTAATGATAACTGCCGTTATTTTTCTTTCATCAGCATGTTGACGAGCTGATTTTTCCTTCACTTCTGCCATTCCATTAACCTTCGTCCTGAAAGGAATGCTGATTTCTCACAGCACAAAGATATTTCATAATATATAACTGTACCACCAAACTCGTCGTATTTGAAATTGTCGGATCGATTCAAAGTTAGCTTTCAACTCCACCTCAAACATAGAATCTCAAACTTTCATAAGGTATCGTTCTTGTTTGCACAGCGCTCTTTATATGAAAACACACCAGTGGCTTGGCGTCGTAATGCAAATGAGTTCTGAAATAGTTTACGTAGGTTGTTGGGGATAGTGGACCTGTAGTTCCACATTGGTACTGAGCACAACGAATATTCCTTCTTGTAAGTACTGTGGAATTCAGGAATATTCGTTCATTGATTTTGATAAGAATTTCGTCTTTATTCTTATCCACCGATTTTGACTAAAGACTTTCCGTCTGATTTTTCTCCCTGCTATCCATTTTGTGAAATAGGATTTCTGACACTGTGCTGCTGACATTGAATGTAAGTACTCCAATAAACTATCTGATAGTCTAATCAAAATTTTAAAATAATAAAAAAGGATGCTTGTTGTTACAACCAGTGCTCTTATATTTGATTGTGATCGAAATTTGCTGATATCTGGTGATCGTTCAGAAAACTATATGTGCACTGCATTTCTACACGTAGATAATAGTGTGAGATATATTGATTTTTTATTGAATTGATTATATTGAATCGCTCCTCAGAAAAATTCTTAAAAGTTGTTGGATGCTGAAGAAGAACTGTGGAATTCACTGAATTGAGATAGGTCTTATAACGTAATGAAGATTTTTTTTTCGAAAAATCCACACAGCATGATCGCAAATTTTGAGAGGGAAATTGAGATCAGAGGATTAAGGATAGCGATTGACTGACTAATTGTACTGATCAACTCATCAATGAGAGTTATCGCTAATTTTTCAGATCGGCGACATTATTAGTGGAAAAATTTTCGTTAATTTCTCGTTAATGGCGTTTATACGGATTAACTTTAAGGAAGTAAGAAAATTGTTGACTGATTAGTGTTTAGCGGAGCTCACTTCTTCGTTAACGTGCCTCCACAATGTTAACGTGGCTTAACATTAACGTGTCTTTTAATTATTTGTTATGCTTGATAAAACTCGTTTCTGAGTGATACATAATCCACAAATAAATGATCACAATCCAGTGACTTGAAGTGTGCTTAAAGATAAAGGTTTAGATGATGCAATAGACTGGAGTTACGGGGTTATAATAGATGCGGGCTCAACGGGATCACGATTGTTTCTTTACAAATGGCAGACAGTATCGGATAATCATTTAATTGACATTCATCCTGCGTTGGATCACTCTAACAAGGCAGTTGTTAAAAAAGCCAGTCCTGGCTTATCTTCGTTCGCTAACACTCCTCAAAATGCTTCCGGTATGCTTAACATTACTTCGTTGTTTGGAATTATTCCTTGGTAGTAAATGCTCACTTCATTTCAGAGTATATTAAGCCATTATTGGATTATGCGGTTCAGTATATACCAACTGAGAAACAGCCTTATACACCAGTTTTCATTTTTGCAACTGCTGGAATGCGACTTCTTCCATTGAAGTATACTTTTGAAACTTAATTAACATGTATCTTATCAGTATTCTTGTGGCTATTTGCTACTGATCTTATTGATAATTTTGTTGTCAATGTACTTATGAAATAGGGTGATGCTACAAGCCTTGGTCTGAATTCTGGATGAGTCTCAGTAATACAGCTCAGGTTTCAATATAAATCAGAGGTGAGCAGTAAGTCTCAGGCTAAGCCACGCGATGAGCATCATTCAAAAGCAAACGTTCAAGGTTTGCGGTAGTCCGACCCCCTTTCGTAAACACGTTAACTGCTGGACTATCGACTTATTATTGCAGTCAACAAGAAGACATCTTGAGGAATTTGCACAAAAATTTGCCGTTAATGACAAAACTGCAAATTATTCCTGAGCATATTCGCGTAATTGAAGGAAAATGGGAAGGAATTTATTCGTGGATTGCGGTTAACTATATACTTGGAAGGTTGTTGAATTAATTAATTATTATGAGTAATTATGAATGTTGGATGCCATATGCATAATAGCGAATGATTAAAGGTTTGACGTAAACGGCTCACATGAAGTTCGTCAGCGAAGTGTTGGTATGATTGATGTTGGTGGTGCGTCATTACAAATAGCAATTGAATTGAATCATGAAAACGATATGAACGACAATTACAATGTTGAAAATGTTAATTTGGGCTGTAGAGATGACAGTGAAATGTTCAGGTATTGGTTGTTATTATTACTTATTAAGACAAACATGAATAGATGAAATACTTGACAGGTATCGTTTATTTGCAACAACTTTTCTTGGATACGGAGTGAATGAAGGTATTCGCAAATATGAGCAGTTGTTAAGTGATCGTTTATTTGAATCATATAATGCTTCTCATCATCAATATGTTCGTGATTCGTGTTTACCAAAGAATCTTGTTAAAACTGTTTCTCGCAAAAATGGTTCACAATTTGTTAGAAAGGTTTGTTTGGCACAGTAGTATTTGTTTGTTTTTTTTTTATTACTGGTACTATTAAAATGATAATACTGTGTCAAAATAACTGTTGAATGAATGAAATGTGCAGGGTGTTGGAGATTGGGATAATTGTTTGGAAGAAATGAATGGACTGCTTGATGGTAGTAAGAGCAAAGAATGCGCAACATATTTAACGTCGTCAACAAGCACTGCAACCACAGCAGTACCATCATGTTATCTAGGCCAGGTTCGATCGCCACACATTGATTTATCGTCGATGGAACTGTATGGTTTTAGTGAATTGTGGTTCACAACAAATGATATCTTTTCATTGGGTGGACAGTATAACTTCGCTGACTTCGCCACTCAGTCTAGACTCTATTGCAATTCGCGTTGGTCAGCTATACAGGTGGTTATATTGTAGTTTTATTGGTTTTAATTACTCATCTTGATGTGGGATGAAATGAATAAATGACTGATTAATTCAGTTACGAAAGCGTCAAAATCTTTATCCCAAAGCAGATGAAGATCGACTTCGTTCACAATGCTTTAAATCAGCATGGATTGCGGCTATACTTCATAAAGGTTTCTCGTTGAGTAAATTCAAAAATCGTTTAAAGTCGGTTTTTGATATCAATGGAGAGGAAGTACAGTGGACGTTGGGTGCGATGCTCCACAATATGAGGTGCTTCATTTTACCCTCACTGGTTAAATGCAATCTGTTATTGAAATCATTATTTTATGATTCGTTATCACTCTTATTGTTATGAGTGATACATCATCATGATTCGTATTTACACGTTTAAAAGCAGTTTATGCTTAATGGAAAATGTAGTTGGAAACCAAAGTAGATGGATTTATGTACTGAGGATATCAATACATCAAAAAGTGACGCATTCCTTTGTGATGCTTGTTTACTGAAGTTGGTATATTTTTGTATATGCCAAATCTGAACAGCAGAACAAATACAGTTATGATACAAAATTTCGAAGCAAAATACAGGAACATTGCTGTACCGGAAATTTTGGATATAATGAAATATGAAATGAATTGAAGGTATTTTCCATTACGTGACATGCAACGCCGTAACTGGTTGGATAAAAGGCGTCACCTAACAACAACGAATAAGTCCTCGATTTATGTATTATTGATGATAGCATTGTGCATTATATTGGGGATTATCTGGAAAAGTTTAGTTGGCTCTAAAAATGGATTGTTGCGAAGAGAGCCATCGATATGGGGCTATATGATGTTATCACAAGATCAGTCATCACTCTATCAGCCATCAGCATCAGCACTCTATAAACTGCAATCGTTTTCCTAGTCTTATTTTCGTCTCCATTCACAACTC